TGTTTAACCTTACTCTAGGTAGGTAAAGGCAGGCCTCTACCTCACTAGGTATAGTTAGGGAGGTCTTAAATGTCCCTAGAATCTTCCTACACGCTCTATTTTGTAGTAATTGCCTTTATTTAAGAGCTAGTTATTGTTGTTTCTAGAAGATCTAACAACTATAGTCTGCTACGCTAGTAATGCAGGCAAGGTATAATTGTCTAAAGGCTCTAGGTGATAGGCCTTTATTGCTATTTGCTAGTCTGCTTAGCCAAGTAAAGGCTTAGTTTGCCTGTTAATTTCTAATAAAATAGTAATCCTTGAACTTAAGGGCTTTGTCAAAGTACATGCCTAGCCATCTAATTTGCTTTTTTAGTTAAAAGGTCTCCTAGGTAGGTAGTGTAAGAGAATCTTAATTCTTTTTTAATCTAGTCTAATTTACTAGTTTAGTCTTTAAGCTATTAAATTTAATTGCTAGCTCCTCTGTGTAACGGGCTGAACGCCCTTCGCCTCCCATACTCGTCTACGACCTCGTTTACTCCACCTGCCCGGCCCGATTGTTACCCTAGCAACCAGCATTGTATATAGATAGCTACGTAGCCGAGAGCTTAGCTCTCTATCGAATACAATCTTGTTACCTTGGCCTGTCCGATCGTGCTCCCGAGCTTAAGACTACCCTCCGGGGTCGAGCCCCTTACACTCTGCTAGATTAAAGAGTTTTTAGGTCTCTTTTTCTAGTAATTTAAAGTTTTTCTTAATAGATGTTATAGATACTAATATCTATAGGTTGTCTATATAAGAAGAAAAGTAGATGTTTCTATTTATTATAATTAACTAAAATAGTAGTTTTATATAGATTAAAAATAAGATTAGAGAAGTAGGGCTGCCTTAGGGCGTCAGGCCTACTAAAGGTACATACCTACGAGAATACTAGATCAATCGCCCACCAAGACTTTACTTAAATACTCCCTACTTATAAGGGGTTAAGGCTAAGAACGCTTGTAACGGGTCGAGTCCTATTAGACTGCGCACGCAACTACAACGCGCCCACCGCGCCAAAAAGGCTGGCACAAGATATCAGAGCTGCTGATATCGTTGCGTAGTTGATACATAAGATAGCCACCGCTATCTGTACTGTAGCGGGCTACCTAGCCCGTTACAACGCTCTTCTATATTAGAAAAGACCTAGATGTAGAGGTTAACCTATATATTAGCGACGACAACGACTTACAAGCTATTATAATACTCTCCTCTTTAACTAAGATCTATATATATAACATTTATAACGAAAAAAGCCTAAAAAAAGGGCTTAACAAGACAACAATCTAAAGGCGCCTACTCAAAGAGACTCTAGAACCCTCCTCAATTATACTAGAGGACTTTAACACCTACCACCCTAGATGGAGCCTACAGGATAAAAACCTAAACCAAGAAGCAGAGGATCTAGTAGAGTGGGTAGACAACCAAAACCTTTCTCTACTAAATACTCTAGGGACTGGCACCTTTTTTTGAGTAAATATGCGGCAAGAAAGCGTACTAGATCTTACTTTTGCAACTAATAATATAGCTGCCAAAATCCAGGACTAGCAAACTATACTAGGAGTTAGATTAGAATACTACGCAATCCTTTTTAGTATTGAAAGCCTAGGCCAGCTACCTAGCCAGCTAAAGAGATTTAATATTAAAAAGACCAACTAGGACATCTTTAATAATAGACTTAATGAAGAAGTCAACAACTAACAGCTAGAGGCACAACTACTAGACCTACCCCACACCTCTAGCTATCTATCAAGAAAGATCCTATTAGGTCAGGATAACTCCCTAGTAGAGAAACTAGAGAAACTAGGAGAAGATATTACAACAGTAGTACAAACAGCTCTAAAAGAATCCACCCCACTAGTTAGCCAGAAACCAAAGCCGAAACCTTGGTGGACTAGTGAGCTAGATAACCTAAAGTCGGATCAAAACAGAGCTTTTCGAGTCCTAAAAAGAGAAGCTAGTAGAGAGGACAACAGCCAAATTAACTAGTGGAAAAAAGAGTATCTTATTGCAAAATACAGATATCTAAAAGCTATTAAAAAAGCTAAGCTTAACTACTGGGAAACCTTTCTACAAAAGGAGACGCTAAAAGAGATATTTAAAGCTATGGCCTACACAAAAGACAACCTATCTATAAGGATACCTGCTATTAAAGGCAAGGAGATCTTTAGAGAAAAATGCCAAGCCTTTAGAGAAGATCTCTTCCCCCCACCACCATCTACTCCAGCCCCACTACTAAATACCTACAAAGGAGATAGTAGATAGGAGTGGCCAGCTTTAACAAAAGAAGAGCTCGAATTCGCCTGCGTAAGCGTAAAAGCTACCTCGCCAGGACCAGATTTAATCAGCCAGGATATAGTCCAAAAAGTCTATCAGGCACAGCTAGAATTACTCTTTAAGATATATTTAGCTCTATTCAACTTTGGCTACCAACTAAAGTGCTAGAGAAAAACTAAAGGAGTTATTCTAAAGAAACCTAGAAAGCTAGACTACTCTATCCTAAAGGCCTATAGAGTTATCTCACTCTTAAGCTGCCTAAGGAAAGTACTAGAAAGACTATTTGTAAGACAATTAGGAGCACTAGCAGAAACAATAGACTTACTCCACCCTACTTAGTTAGGCGGGAGATTAAAGAAATCAGCAATTAACGCTACTCTCTTATTTTATAATAATATACAATAGCAGAAAAAGAAGCATAGGACTACTATAACTATATTTCTAGATATAAAAGGGGCCTTTAATCACGTGGCTAAAAATAAGCTACTAGAAAATATAAAGGATTAAGGACTTCCTTACTACCTACTATTCTAGACTGAATCCTTCCTAGAAAATAGACTACTAGAGCTATCCTTTAATGGCCAAGTAGAAGATCTATAGGAGGTAAACACTAGTACACAGTAGTACGCGGCAATTCTCGCACTTTAATTAAGTACCGATTTTGCCGAGAGGTATCGTCCAACAGTGGTTGGCTGAGTAATGTCGGTGGTACAATAAGAGCGAACACCGACAGAGCCGCGATACCTACTTACTGGATTGTGGGAAATTCAAGGCAGTTCATCTCTTGATCACGTCTTTTGCATTGATCAACAACCAAGCAAACAACGAGTCGAACAAACAGCAACGCTCTATCCGGCTGGTGTCTCGCAACACCCCAGTATTTTATTGCGATATATTTGTACCTAAAAGGATGTTCGGCTTCGTTGACCGGGTTCGCAAATTAAAGAGCAAGCCTACTCTTAGCAGTGAGAATCGAGTGCACTTCAGAGACCAGGAATGCATGGTTGTCCGCACAAAGGCAGTCGCTCAAATCGCAGTAGGCGGCATAGCACTATCGCTCTGGTTCCTTGCTTGCCTCTCCTATATTTACGGCTCTCTGTACCTCTCTCCGAAGAGGCATGCAGCTTTGCACATTCTCGCCGTTGATTACGACAAGGGCGTCATAGGACAGGCGATGCAGACGGCGTACACCCAGCTCAAGGGCCCCGGCTTCTTCACTCTGGACTTTGGCTCTTCTGAAGCATATCCGACAGAATCCGATATGCTGCAAGCCGTATGGCGTGGTGACTACTGGGCTTCTATTGCAGTAACTGAAGGAGCCTCTGAACGCTTGTACGCAGCACTACAGGGTGGTGAAGCAGCGGCCAGTTATGATTCGTCAGCGGCATTGCATTACGTCTGGGATCAATAGTATTACACCACGGTTGCAAACTCGGTGGTACTGGGTCATATGAATGAGTTGGTGGCTGCTACGCGGCTCGCCTACAACAAGATCAACGGTATGCAAGCGACTCGTATCGTCAACCACACCGATCAGACTGCCATACAGGCCTTGCTCAATCCTATCGGGTCAACACAAACCAACATTCAGCCTGCAGCATTCGGAACAGTGACATTAATCAATACAGTCTCCATGGTAATGCCTATTCTTCAGCAGTTCTTCTTTCTCCTTTCCCTCAACGGCATTTTTGCGGCCTACCATCTTTACCGCAATATGACCGTCTTGTCTAGCATATGTCTCCGTCGCTTTTCCGGTATTATTTTCTCCCTCGGCGCTGCACTGTGCCAAACAGGATATTATTGGGGCTTCAGAGGAGACTGGGAAGTAAATGGCGCCCAATTCCTCTTGACGTGGATGACGATCTGGCTGCTCATGCATATACATCTCCTTGTCCTTGACAGCATCTCAACCATGGCGCCACTTGCATTCATGCCGTTTGTCGTTCCCTTCTGGATCCTGTTGAATACTGCAAGTGTGACCAGCCCCCTCGAGATGCAACCTGGCGTCTACAAATGGAGTGTTATCCTTCCCAGCCACGAAGCGTACTCGGTGTTGACAACAATATGGACCGGTGGTGCGCACAACCGACTCTACCGAGCTTTACCCATCCTCTTCTCGTGGTGGATTCTGACCAATATCACCACAACCCTTGCGCATATCAGGGCCTGTCATTTGGCATACAAAGTCCATCAACAGCAAGGCACGGGTCCAGATATTCAGAAGGATGTAGAGAGTGGTCTGTACACGGCAGAGGATAACAAAGGCCGAGTGTCCGGGCAGAATACCATATCGAGGACAGCTACACAGATTACACCACCACGAACGATAGAGGAGGCTGTTTCAGAATGATAGGAGACGCAGAAGCGTTGGCAAGGTTAACATAAATGTAGCTATAGGAGAAACATGGAAGGCCATATGCTGGATGGTTACCGGTATATCTGATGCTGGCTGAGCAATCGCTTCGAATATCGGTACATATTATTTCGAATTTAATGCTGCACTGGAGTCGGCAAGTCTTCAGGTCACAGACCTTTCACGGGTATGAATATCTAGCGTTAGATATCATCCCACTGTTAGGCATAGCAATGTTATATTCACTTTATCGAGATGACATACACGTATCTAGTATGACTTGATGTGTTCATACTATGTATCGTTAGTGTTTAGAATTGTTGAGTCCTGCAAAGTCTCATCAGCAACTGCCAGATGAACAGCAATATATATTGATTGAAAATATTTGTATAGCTAGTATTATAGTGCTCTAAGACGGCAAGGTTCCTTGCGGTACGCTTGGTGCCAGGGTTGCTTGCCATTAAGTGGCTAATCTTTCTCTCTACGAGATCATTAAGGAGATGCCGAGACCAGTCGGTAAATTGCTCATCTTGGGCTATATTTAATGGCGTTAGCTTAGTCGATCGACTTGAATAACTAGTGTAAGCGCTAGAGTGAATCCCGCATTCAACTCGCTCATGGATATGGCACTCATTTGCGGCTCGAAGCAGCAAAATGGCGAGGCTGGACTGTCACGATACCGAGGAGTTCGCGAGGGTAAAGAGCTACAATAGCGGTCGGACAGTGATTAATTGATTTGTTAGTATTTTTTAGTACACTGTGGTTAACAAATTGCTGCTCTTAACATAAGCCTAGGAAACGGAGAAATCGACGGAAAGCTCCTGTGGCGGATTTAACTTTTCACGAGGAATTGAAATCGCCGACAATAATGGATCAAAGTAGGTCGTGCTAATATGTACAATCGTCTGCAGTCATTATCCCATTACTAAGCATTTATAAACTCATCTCATCTGTACACTTGGAATCTGGTTCATCATGGCCTCACTGGGTAAATCTAGCGGTGAGGCACTAGAGTTTCGATAATACCTTCGTCGTGTCATTGAATGACTCCAGCTCACAAGCTACAGCATCAGGCTTCCTGTCATGAAGCTTTCATTCGTCATTAACTATTACATAATGAAGCACCGCTTAGCGGTCACATCCCAGACTGATATGGTTCCACTGGGATTTTTTTGACGTGCATGGCTCACTTCTTGCTGAAATCCTCCTTCTTGATGGCTAGAAACGTCAAGCTCCACAACTGACGGATGTTGCTCTCAGTTGATGTCAGGGCTCCCAGTTGTTCAACCTTGAATCCATTGTCGTACTTCCAGCTCCACAGCTCGTTGCTTAGTTGGTCGCTATTCGCGTCAATGGTTTCCCAGAGCTTGTTGTAGGCTGAGAGGACTTTGTTGTGGAGAGTCTTGTCTTTGCAGAAATCTAGTATGACGTATTAGCATTATGTATATATCTGTAGAGGTAGCTTTTGGCATACCAGGCACATCATTCGAACTGCAGCGACTAAGCTGGCGTGCAAGTCCTGCACCCATCATGGCAAGTTGCCAGCTCCAGACCACCGTTCCATGGTACGCAGTTCTTGAAAAGGTACCGGCAAAATCCTTGTTGCCAGAGTAGGCTGGATTAGCAACAAACAGGCCAACGTCGCTGGACAAGCCCACGGGGAAGGGCTGGAGAATGTGATCAGCCGTCTGGCTCATGTAAGCGCTCAGTTGCGTCTGATTAGTGGTGTCGAGCAAAAAGTGGCGGAAACAGTCGTCTGTGTTCATGACAGGAACAACTGGGGTGTTGAGTTTGCCGTCTAGCGCAAGTCCATAGTAAGTGATGTCGCCCGTCATGTGGTCGACATTGGTTGGCACGCCCAAACTGGCACTTGTAACATATTGCTGGACTAGCGATTTGGCCTGGTCTTGTGGTACGGTAATCTGGAAGAATTGCAGTGTCTCGTCTTCCCAGATCTGAGCGTATCTAGGTTGAGTTTGTTAGCGCATATGCATGACGCATGTCAGAGAGCTGCGGCTCGTCTTACCGATCTGCGTCTTTACTCCACTCTGGATGGTCCGGGAAGAAGCCGGCTTTACTAAGACTGGCAATGGCCCGCAGACCGGCAGGCACAAGAGCTGTATTGACATCGTACGGAATGCGGCCCCCGCCAAGGCCATCGTTTGAGTCGCGCCATTCGCCAACAGATTCGCCGTCTTTGAGGTGGATAAGGTTTGATTTGACCTGGCTCTCTGCGAACGGCGAGGCAATCCGCATTATCTTCTCAGCCGTCAGCTGCGCCAACTCGGAGTAAGTCAAACCCTTGTTCTCATCCAGGAAGGTCGCGGTCTGCTTGAAAAAGGCATCTGAGCGTTTCTTGCCCGCGTCTGTATCAACAAAATAGCTCTTCATGGAGATGGGCAAGAAGAAGTCTGTATCAATCATCTTGTAGTCGCACGAGGGTGCTATCGAGTTGACGCCGTTCTGCCTGTTGATCCACGTTGCGTAGTCGCCAATAACCTCCTCATGGCACACAGTACCAGTTGAGCGCTGGACTCGCTCGAGGACTGCTCCAATGACGGCTTCAATCGCTTGTTGGCTGAGTACGGACTGCATAAGAAGTAACGAGATCATGCTGTCGCGCCCAAAATATGTCAAGAAGCGCCATGTCCCGGCCAACAACTTGTTCGAGTAGGAGAGAAACGCCAGTGAAGTTGTTTTGTCTGGATCCTGGGAAACCAAGCCTGTGGATGTCTGATTGAGAACCTTTGAAGGACTCAGTTGCTCCAACTGTGGGTAGTTGAATGAGGCCTCAAAGCGATAGGATCCAGCACCAAAGGTCAGTGTCCATGCTGCCTCCCGGTTGAGCACAATGGCCTTGGCTCGATTCAGCGGAGTAAAGGCCAGCGTTGTAGTTGTGACAGCATCAAACCAAGTGCGATTAATGGATGCGCTTCCGTCGCTGCCCAGACCGAAGCCGAAGCTATTCTGAAAGGCCTGGTTGATGTTGCCTCCCTCGACGAAATCGCGAATGCTCCGGATACTGCCCAGAATCGGCACAGTAAGTCGAGCGGCGGTGTTAAAGGTGAGGGTTCCAGAAACCCCGACGCGACTGCTATCACTTATGCCTTGTATGGCCTCACCGCTACCAGACTGGTCCAGCAAGATACTGAGGGACCCTTCTGGGCCATTTTCGGGAGCGAAGCGGGCCATGACGCCACTGTTTCCGGCGGGCCACGCTACCAGCAGACGGGGCTTGACTACATTGAGGTCACTTCCTGACTGAGGGCTAGTCACAATGACATGGGCAGCGGTATGGCAGTCGGAATAGAAGTGATTGTCGTAGGGACCGTCCTCAAGGCGAATCCGTGTGGCAGCTCCGGCGCATGGCGAGTCGGAGAAGGAAGCGTCAGGCGCAGACCGGGGAGAGTGCTGATTTCCATGAGGGTGAGCCAATATAGCAACTATCAGGGCCAAGACAGTCAGGACCGTGAGAGCTGCCATGACTTGTACAACAAGTCTATTAGTTGGGCGTTTTACATGGGACATGGCGAGGTGAGCGTGAAGAGTGGATGAGATGCGTGGAGAATGGATGGGGGGAGGGCCCTGTGGTGGATCAGTGCTCACTTACTGGGTAGACGACGAGGTTGAGTTGATTATGGCAGTGGGCGTGGTTGGTGTTGTGGGTGTTTATGAGAACCAGTCCCGTCTTCAGTCGTGGTTGTTTTGCAGCATCCGAGATGGTGAGGGGGCCCGTTAGCGTAGGGTGGGCACAGTCACCAGAACGAGCACTGTTGCGGGAAAAAAGAAACATTCACTGTCACTATCAACATGGGGTGTTTTTATAAGACCCCACTTGATCGGGGTCGTTTGACGCAGTAAAACGCTATGCTGTCATGAGGCCCCTACTCGCGTGGCTACTTGCATGGTCCGGTGTGCGGCCATGGGCCGTTTGATGAGCCGCATTTTGGCGTGCAAGGGCATGGAGAAGATCGCTGGACCTGCCGTGGGTGAGGGCTGCTGGGGTCACGATCACGATGGCCATGGCGGGTGTTTTGGTTGTGGGGTAGTGTGGCGGGCTGGTTGGTTGTAGTACTAGGCCGAATGATCTAGTTCCAAGGCCGCTACGACGCTTTCGGTTCTGATCACCAACCGCCTCCGCCTACTGACCCATTTGGCACCGTGGGCCGTTACAAAATGACCTAGTCGAGCCTTGCCGCCATCTTCGCCATAGACGGTCGTTGTAACGGCCGACTGACCGTACACGTGTCAGCCACTCACCACACGGCCATCTCTCGCAGTCGGGTGCATCACACGCAAACATGGTCATGTGCTTCATGGCTTCATGGCTTCATGGCTTCATGGCTTCATGGCTTCATGGCTTCATGGCTTCTGCCCCGGTCAGGCATTTGTTCTATTGACACGGCTGCCGTGCTGGTGTTGCGTTGCGCCAGAGCCTGGGGCCTGGCGTCTTGTACCCATCAATCCGCCCATGGACACTGACTAGTATACCCTCGTCCTTGGGCCCATAGAGTTTGGTGCCTGGTACCCCGCCATCGATGCTCCTTGCCGGCCGGCTCTTCCCTGGCGCCACACGCAGGTTTACGCACTGGGGGTATGCCTGCGCTCCATCGAGCTTTTCTGCTACATGCAATGCGATGATCTCTTGTCTCATGACATAGTTGCCTGCCTCAAGCAGCTCGGGAAGCCGGACAATCCAGGTGAAGTTGTTGGCAATGAGCACGTCGGTCGCCCAGGTGCCGCCCAGTTCCAACTTGTCCCACCCGGTACTATTCAACCATGCTAGCTCGTCAATCTTGACCCACAACAAGTCGTCCTTTTTCGCCTCGGCGCAGCTGCCGTTGCACTTGGCGACATAGGTCATTACAGGCCCCACGTGCGAGACGGGCCATTCGTTCCATTTGACCTTGAGCGTGTCGCCGGCAGTTGTGTTGACGTGGAGCGCGCCGGGGATAGCATTGTCGTGGCATGTCATGTTGGACGTGTTGAAGTGCGAGGGCGATACATAGATGTTTCCCAGGTTGGCGGCGGACCATGCAGCGAGCGGAGAGGGTGGTGTCAGGGATTTGGAGGACTCGGGGTCCCAGCCTTTATAGACGTGGCCGGTCGAGGTTGTGATTTGCGCAATGCGCCCATGTGCTGATGCGAGAGCGAACAAGAATGACAGTGCCACGCCTGTCAGAATCGGCAACATTGTGGCTTGCACGCAACGTGTGAGACGGATGCGAGGCAGAGACCAGGGGCACAGCGGGCAGGATATAAACGTCGTCGGGCCCCGATGGCACGCACAGCAGGGCTACGCGTCTCGTGTATAGGATATATTGACATCGTTTCTGTATTTTACCCCAGATTTGGCCGTGCTGCACTTCATTTGGGCGCCTCTGTGTGATTGGCCGCGTTGGCAACTCCCAGGCCATGTTCTCTGCGGCGCCGTCACCTGCCAAGCCAAGCATGGAGTCACGATGTTTCAACATGAACAGAACGAGCGGGCACGGGCTTTGTACATGAAGACGCGGTGCGGGTAGGTGTAGAGTGGTTCCATGGCTAATCATTTCCAGTCCAATGCCATGCCCATGATGCCCCGCCGGCAGTCCTGCCGCAATATAATACAAGTGGGTGGGTGGTGGATCCCCATGGTCCGCTGGTTGCGCCCAGGATTCTTTACTTGATTTCTTTTTCCAGCAGCTCTTTTGCTTCGTTGACCTTGGTCGCCAGGTACGGGCTGCCGCCGCGGTCGGGGTGGTTGAGAAGCATCAGCGAGCGGTGCTTCTTCCGCAGCAGTTCCTTTGTGATGCCGCGTTCGCTGTGGCTTGTGAGTGTCTGTGGCGGCGAGTGGCGGGGAGAGCAGGTGGGAGGGGCATACGGCATCTCCAATATCAGCGCAGCCTCTCTGCGTGTCATCTTGGGCTCAAAGCCGCCCTTGTAGTATGAGCGTCCCAATGCACCCGCGCCGCCGCCTGATCTGCGCAGCGCAACCAGTGCGGCGCGGCCCTGTCCGGTGCGTTAGTCGGTGCCCGCGTGTGCGCATGCGAAGGAGACGGCATCATGGGGAGGGGAGACGCACGAAGAAGGCCGTGGCACCCGCGCCCAGTATCCATACCCACGCCGACATTGATTTGGTGTAGGGGCAATGTGCGCGTAGTCGTCGTCGTCGTCGTCGTCGTCGATGTCGTCGATGCTCGGCGGCGATGTGGGAAAAAGGCGGGCGAGGAATCTGCGGAGGTGCCTCGGTCGAGACGCCCGCCAATTGGCCCTGAGTGCACGCGCCACCCAAAATTTCTGGCCCGCCAGCAATACTCTCCTCCATGTCCATGTTCGCCTTTGCAGTTCCACCCCCAACCGCCGTCCCCCCGCCGCCGCCGCCAGCATGAGAATCGAAACGTGTATGCATCCCTCCCAGAGGCGCCGCCCACCGTGTTGCGCATGCTGACCCGACCTGCCCAGGCTACTTTTGCTCGAGTCCCGTGTACCCGTCCAAGGGCATCACCTTTGGTATGCGCCCTTCACCACACCACCGCCATGTGCTAACCGCCCGCAGTGCGAAATGACGCCAAGAGCTTCCGCTTCTGCAAGAGCAAGTGCCACAAGAACTTCAAGATGAAGCGCAACGTATGCATCCCGCACATGCCACACACACGCCGCCCGTGCTAACCGCCATGCAGCCGCGCAAGCTGGCATGGACCAAGAGCTTCCGCCGCGCACATGGCAAGGAGATGACGGTCGACTCCACCCTCACCTTTGCCCAGCGCCGCAATGTGCCTGTGCGCTACAACCGCGACCTGGTCCAGACAACGCTCAAGGCCATGGGCCGCATATCCGAGATCCGGGCACGAAGGGAGCGTGCCTTTTACAAGGCCCGCATGCGCGGCAACAAGCAGCGACAGCGTGAAGAGGACCGCAAGCTGGTCATGGAAAACCAGCACCTGCTGCCCCCGAGCGAGAGGTTCTCCAAGGAGGAGCTGGAGCAGCAACAGATGGAGCCCCATGTTCAGACGGTCAAGGACAAGGTGGCTGCCCGGAGAAAGGAGCTGGAGGCCCAAGAGAGCGAGCTTAGCGATGCCGAGGAAGAGATGCTGCCCAAGACGAAGAGCAAGAGGAAGATGAAGATGAAGCTTGGCGGTCGCGGTGTTGAGGCCATGGACATGGATGAGTAGCCAGTCATTCAACAAAAGACGGCGACACCTGCTGGTTGGCGACTGAAATCTGCTGGGCCTGGCAGGTTGAGACTGTTCCCGGAGTCTGGCGTCACATTATGGGGTAGTTTTTCATGGCCAAAATCTCGATACCATATCAAAGGTTTTCTCATCCAATCTCCAGAATCGCCATGGTTTGGTCTTGTTACGTTGATACTAACATGGCAGGACACCAATAGCGTCTCACCGGATAAGGAATTTAAAAAAAAAAAAATGAAAACGCTTCGTCTCGGAAAACTACTCATTACACATACACCATCCATGCGTGTAGCCGGAAAACAGCGCTTAAAATCAATCAACACCAAATCATTGCCCATCTCCCAAAGGCGGTGTTCCCAACTCATTAATATACCGCCCACTTCTCTCCACCTCGATAACCCACTGCCTCCAAGGTTTGAACACAATCCAGCGATTCATCTCAGCCGTATCCAGTCTCTCCCTTTGACTCAGATACTGCACGCCTGTCGTCTTATTCGCACTCACCCCCATACCCCCAGCACCATGCCCACACCCATGAGATTGCTGCTGTGCCCCCGCCAGCACAACAGCCTTCCACTGCACGCGCGCATTACTCGCCACATAATACGCCCAATCGGTTACCTGCTGCACGCTCGTCGCCACCGTGACAAACCCATGTCCCCGCTGCAACACGGTGCTGTGTTTCGGGCTCTGCCACCGACTCTCATTTCTCCCAAACCTCTCGGCTAACTTGCTTCCCAGCCTCACTGTATCCACGAGTAGATCCCTCGCATCGCCATCTTGATATGCGCTTTCAATATCGAAAATCGGTACCGCACTGCCCAAGAATCCCGCCATGTGGTAGGTAGGTTCTACGGCGACATCGGGCAGGATGGTAAACGGCAGCACATCTTCCGCGTGGCTGTGCACAACGGCGTTAATATCGGGATATCGCTTGAGGATTTCGCTATGGATGAAGCGTTCGCTGTAGCCGCCTTTGGTGCCGGGGAGGGGAGACCCGTCGGAAATGTGGTATTCGCCAATGTCGGCCCGGCCGGATATAATGGCTGGGCCTGCATCATGTGTGAGAATGGCGAGGGCTACAAGGAAGGGGAGGGGGGGGACGTGTATACCTAGTTGGAGGGCGATGAAAAACGTCGTGTTGGTCTCGGGGTTGCGCACGCTAACATGGCCAAAGGAATCGAGCACATTGTGGTAGGATAGAATATGGTTGGCCGTAATGAGGCTAGATAGCAAGCCCGTAATGTTGACCATTGTGTCTCGTGTCCATGCACCCGCAGTAAATTGCAAACACGGCCCAGGAAACATAACTTGCAAGGAACAGAGAACAGTTATACATTGGCTACCATAAAAGGTAGCATCATCGGTACGAAAGCGTACAGTGAAGATCTCAAACTATGCTTCGGTGGCGCCTCCTAGTCTGGCGCCAACTCCCGCGCCCAGACCATGGCCTCCAAAGCAGTGTACGCGCATTAGCCACAATCATGCAGCCCTAACGCGATAGATGGGTATATAATTACAGGACATGTATACTTGGCCTCAAATCTCATCCAGAGGCCGTAATATTATGAGCAAAACGCAGTACCACCCGTGAGCCCAGCGTCGAGATGCGCCTCGCTGTCATGACGCGCCCGTGTCTAACCTAGCCACGTAATCAACTATGCTGTGCAATTGTTGGCGAAAAAAAAGCAACCTTGTTGCAATCAAATCCGAAACCGCCCATCAGTGGCGTCCGCCATTCATGGCACCTTGGTTGAATTCGCTCGTGCCATGCCCAGTCGTGTTGGCAAAGTCGGGAAGCACGCCGTTCATACTGATGCCGTCCTCGTACCCGGAGAAGCCGCCCGTCATATCCGCCCAATCCCATTCAAGCGTCATGGGCATTTTCCAGAGATCTTGCGGCACACTGTTGAAGGTCTGGTCAAACTGGCCCATAGTAGCCATGGCATTGATGTTGGAGCTGATGCCGTTCACATCAGCGCTAGTCGTGATGGGCAGACTTTGCTGCTGTTGCAGCATTTGTGCAGTAATGCCAGGAGAGCCGTACTGGCTCATTTGGACGTTGGGTTGTAATGAGGCGTGTGTAAAGTTTGGCGAAAAAGGAAATGGCTGGGAACGTTAGCGCTGCACAGTCGACAGGGTCATGAACCTACCTCGTTGAAGCCGTGAAAGTCTGGATTGAAAACCATGCCTTCAGACGCAGGATTGTTTTGTGGTGTAGTGACCTGCTGTGGGGACGAGTGAGCATTGCGGCCAGTGGAAAGCAGCTCGGCTGCAGTGGCTTCAATCTGCGCGTCTTGCTCGCTGTCACCTTGCTTTCTCTTTCGCCGCGATGCGTGCTCACGATCTGCTTTTTCTAATACCATGGATGCAATGCGCTCAAACTCGGCACAAACGGTGCACATTCGCTTCACACTGCCACTTCCTTGGTCGTCGTTGAGCATGTTCAGGAAGTTGACCACCAACTTCATTAGCTTGAGGTCGGATCGTGATCGCGTGTCTTGTGGATTTTGCAGGATATTTGCAAAAAGCGTGACGAGTGCTGTGACGGGGAAGTAAATGACGAGCCACACGCAAGACAGGTCGCCCTTTGGTATGTACTTGAGCAAGTGGATCGAAGCACGAGCAGCCTGCACGCAAAGTTGAGCCGACATGAAGACTCTGGGATTCAGTGGTCGTGCATTCAGGCCCTGGATGGCGAAGTTTGACAGACGGCTCGTCCAGTATCCGTGATGGACGCTCATGCGGTGAATGGTAGTCAGGCAGTTGTAATAGCCAAGATGCAACACGGCGACCTGGAGAATCAGTGGGGTGTGCGATGCTTTGATGTCGTGTTCTGGGCGAAACTCGAGGGGTATGCCGTCTTTCCAAGCCTCGAGTTCCTTGTCCAATTCACCAATCGTGTTGAGTAGTTCGCCATCAGTCTGCTTAGAGGCCTTGACCGAGTACAGGCCCTTGTACACCTTGCTCTGGATCACGGCAAAGGTGCACATGAGTCGGAAAAGGTTCATGGTACCATTGCCGTCGGCGAGGGGAATGTTGCCAATGTTGTCGGATGGCGTCTCGCTAGGTAGCTCGACGTTCATGTCATCATCGTCTTGTACTGGAGGTCTACCAGAACGCAAGCAGATGCTGCTAGGGTTAGGATGGTTCATCAGAATCAAGTGGGGTTCTCTCACTCCTTGTCAAGCATATATGCGATCCAAAAGACACGCCTCCGCTGCTCGACTTCTGCGGCGTTGAGACTGAAGTTGGCACCTTTCTTGTGAAGACCAATACTGTGGGCTAGTCGCATAGCAGAGGCGATGAAGAAGTAGGTGGGCTGGGGGTTTGGTGTTCCTAGCAGAAAAAGGCCCTGTGCGTGTTAGCGGGTGAGATGTGGCGTACAGCCATGTACTTACCACTCCAAGCAAGGCTTGTACGCTCAGTAGATCGGTGTTGCGCATGGTAAGCTCGACCATGACACTCATGGCGTTCTTGAGGTACTGCCAAGCTTTCTCGTCCTCCTCTGCAGGCACAAGATTACTCATGACACGCAATCGATGAGCAAAGGCCAAGGCGACGTTCAAACTAGCCCACCAGCCCGAGCCTTCGTAGGGATCTTTGGAGTAGTGTTTGTCGACGAGATGCATAAATGTGGGTTCGTGGAACAGGGGGAACATGCAATTGAAGTTTTCAAAGTAGTCTTTGAGCAGTGACAGCGCCTCGTGCTTGGGAGGCAATTGCTTGTAGACGCGGCGCTTGAAGATGTCCTGGAAGACGTCTGGCCGCCACTGTATCCACTTGTTGTCCTCGACGGCAGCTGTGGAAATCATATCGCGGAACGAATTGTCGCCCGTCTTCTCATTGACCCATTGTATGCCCTTGGGCGAGAAGATGGAGAAGCCGGATGAGGAGCCTGGGGTGTTAACTGACAGCCATTGTGTGTCTCGATGCAAACATACCGATATATCTTGTCTCACCGCAGTTGTTAGTGACTAGCGAGCACATCATCTCGGCCAGAGCATCTTCGTCTTTGTCCTTCGGGCCCGCGGGCTCGTCGTCGGGGTCCGGGGATGCGGTGCCGCTCCTCGGGCTAGGGAGGGCGGGCTGGGCTGGGGTGGTTTCTGCTGCTGAGTGAAGGCTCGACTGGGGGGCTGCCGAAGATGGCCTGTCTGTGGTGCTGTTCCTGGGTGTAGCCGAGCGTCCCGCACGCGCCTCGAGCCGCCTCTCGAGCGTGGCCAGGTCTGTGCTACCGTCGTCGTCTTCAGGGAGAACGCCTGAGAGACGCATGAGCGACTCCATGCGGGCGAGGCGATTCTCGAGGCCTTCGATGTACTTGGCACTATACACAGTCAGATGGAGCGGCACGGGGCCAATGGGAGACGGACCCTTTCGGCGGCTGGCGCTTCTTCTCGACCTGGGTGAAGATGCACTCGGTCTTGTAGTTTTGGCAGTGGGTGCACGAGGGCATCTTGCCGTCACACTTGATCTTCTTCTTGCGGCACATGTCGCATGCCTGCAGCCCTAGTTAGCAGCCGAGCAGGAGGCTCTGGACGGCCATGTGTGCGTACCCGTGCAATGCGCCGCCGCTTAGCGTCGCCCCCGTCGTTGTGGTCGTCCATGTCGTCGTGCGCAAACATGCTGGCCGTGGGCATTTGCGAAGGGTCGAAGGTGCCGCTGCCGAAGAGGCGCGGGGGAGGGTTCATCATGGGCGGGCCAGCGGCGTAGAAGCCGGATTGGGAGGGATCCATGGCGGGCGTGCTCACTGGCAGCAGCGTGGTTGGTGTGCTGCGTGGTTTAGGTACTGCGCCGTGTTAGTTTTGGAGCGTGTGTCGCCGTCGAAGCTAGCAGCGTGTTCGGCAACCTGAGACGTCGGACAAATATTTGAGACGGGCGATGCAACTGAAACGAAACGGGGACAGGAGCGACGTGATTGCTGGCGCATGCCTCAGGTGTCGTGTATGTAGTATGTATGTAGGCAGCGCACGCCGGGGCCAATGCAATGGAGCCACTTACCACGAGATGTCGAGGGCCATGGCCGTGGACCTCGTAGGCGATGTTGCAGGGGCCGCCACGGTCCTTGGCCACGGGCACCTTGCCATGGCTCGCGGGCTTGAGGGGCCAGATGATGTGGGGATACTCTGGGTGCTGGCGCAGTTGGTGGGCGGACAACGGGGCCATGGCGGGTGTGGCTACGGGCGGATTAGCACTGACGCACCAGTGCAAAGTGCTGTGTTATTTACGGCACGACTGTAATACAATACTCGAGTAAGATGACTGAGCGGTTACATGCAAGGGTCGACGTGGTGGTGCTAGTGGACCGATGGAACGGCAGTCGAGGCGCTAACTCGGCGGCTCTCTGGGGCGGACGGCGGGCGGACGAAGGAGAGGACGAAGGAGAGGAGGGGAAATGGGCGAGAGCGAGGGAGCGAGGGAGTGAGAGAGTGAGGAGAGTGAGCGAGAGTGAGCGAGAGGGTGGGTGAGTGGGGGGGAGTGGAGAGGCAGCATTCGCCTTAGCCTTAGCGGGGGGGACGTCATTTCGAGGGCCGGGGGGGTAAGATGGGATGCGACAGTCAGCCTCAGGGCCCTGGTGATGGCATTCGGCTGTGTTTCATCCTTCTTCAGCCCTCGCCCGCCAGCGCCCGCCAGCGCCCCTCTCCTCCGCATACCTAAGCCGGTGCAGATCCGCCTTTGCCGTTGCCTTTGCCTGCTCGACTCGACTCGACTGCCACCAAGTGGGCGCTGCCGACCAGCTCCTATACAACCACGACGACGACGACGACGACGCCGCCACTGCTGCTACTTCCGCTTCCGCCGCCGCCGCCGCCGCCGCCAGCCACAGCTACACAGCCACTCAGCCACAGCCCGACCATCACCAGCACCACCACCAGTGCCTCCTCCCCCAAACAAGTCCCCAGGCACCGCGTGGGATTGGGAGGTATGAAATCCGCCTGGCAGCGCCAGACCAAGGATTTTGCCCACACAAAGGCCGACGACTACTCGTCCCTTGTCATCGACAACCGCGGCGTGGGCGACTCGGACAAGCCCGCATGCCGGTACTCGACGTCCGACATGGCCAAGGACGTGATCGAGGTCATTGACCACGTGGGCTGGACCGCCAAGCGCGAGCTGCACATTATTGGAATCAGCATGGGAGGCATGATTGCCCAAGAGCTTGTGAGTCTCAATCATTCTGCTGGCCTCATCCACTGCACAATTTGCTCCGTCCTTCCGCCGGCACACGCCGGATGCACGCCTATCCGTCAGTCCATACAAAAATATCCCACGCGCAGACGCTTCGTGCATCAAAAAAATGCTGCTCTCCTGATACCCAGCATCATCCTGCAATCTTACCCGCCGCCCCGCTGACCCCGCCTGTTCGTCATATCGCCATGTAATGCCATGTAATGATCAGTGCGGCCGATCGTCTGTGAAGGCCTGGAGGTTTGGAGGCTAACTAGTCAAGGCCATGTTGATTCCCGACCGCATCTGCACCTTGTCGCTCGTGTCCACGGCTGCCCACATTTTCAGAACTACAGTAGGTCGTCTTTTCCGGGATAGACAGTGATTGACCCATGCAGGGGTTTGTGGAAAACCTGTGGAACCGCGCCAATCTTCTCATGCCCAAAGATATTGACCAACAAATCGCTGCTGTGAAGAGAAACCTATATACCCAGCAATGGCTAGATGCACCCGACTCTCTGGAGCCCGTTGTGGAGCCCTTTCCTTCAAACGGCGACCGCTTCGGCGCAATGGAATGTCGAAAGAGAGAACAGCCGGACTTATTTCCCAGGGTCGGCTTCCTCGCCCAGGCCATCGCGGCGAACTGGCATTACAAAAGCCCCGAGGACTTGCACCACATGGCCAAGGCGGTCGGAAAGCAGAGAATTATGGTGGTACACGGCACCAGCGATCGTATGCTGACATTCCCCCTTGGCGTGGTATTGTGGAGGGGCTTAGAGAAGGGTGAGGGTGTGACGGGCAAGGAGAACTGGCTGGGTATTGAGCAAGAGGACGACGTGTGGCAGCAGGGCGAAATCGAGAAGCGCTTTATCAAGGGCCAGGGCCATGTCATTCCAATAGAGATGCGCCAGGAGTTTAACTCGTGGATCGAGGGGCTGGTGGAGAGGGGCATAAAACTCAATGAGCACGAGGACTTGACCGGTTAATTATGGAGTCTTACGCTAAATAAGCACGTGTTCATATAATTACTTTTTTTATATCCATACCCTTTGCTAGAAGCTCGCTTAGGAAAGGCTCTGCAAACTAATTGCATTATCAGCTGTTCCTGTGACATTGACGAATGAAGAAGCGTTTAGAGAGAGAGTAGCTAGCCGTTTCCCAAAGCGGGAAATCCGCCCAGACAAAATGCGGGAACAGCCGTGCTGTACCGAGATGCGCTTGTGGCCGCTGAAAGTCACTCGAGCCTCGCCCATGACATGAACAATTCAACAAAATGTATATCATCAGAACTGCTCTAATAGATACAAGGTACGGTGAGAATGACATTGAGGATTATAACTTTCACAGAGCCACTCATAGATAGATGGAAAACCTGTCTACTTAATATATCTGTAACGGGCTGAACGCCCTTTGGATAGCTCCTCGATGGAATCTCGGTCAAGCAGCAGACGCCAGGTCTTACTCTGCAACCCGGCATCTGTGCGAGGCCTGAGCGGCGCCCAGACGACGCGCTCAGACACTCGGTGCAACCTTTCTCTGACAAGTAAATAAACACCACGCAAGTAGACTCTATAGCTCTCTATCGAATACAACCTCTTGTATACCTTGCAATTACTCCCTAGAGCGCAGCCCCTTACATTTTGTATTCGATCCCAATTAGACATAAGCCTTAGGCAGACTGTCTTCTAACTAAGTTTTAGAGCGTGTTGTTAGTGCGAGCTAGTAACACGGAGTTAGTGCTGCAATAGGTACGAAAGGCCTTCAGTGCAGCGAGAAGGTAGACCGTCGCAAGACAGTACACCTAGGGCAGAGCTTCGCAGGAAGTTTAGCCGTGAGAGACAGTAGGCGATTTAGTCGCCCGGGACCTGTCTAGGAAGTCCTACCGTGTCTTGGAAAGCCGAGCCGTAGGCGCAACGTCGCGTGATAAACTACCTAAAGGCCACTCGGGCCTAGCGTACAGTTAGCTAGAAGCGGACGTTGTAGTGAGAAGTCCTGTCGATCCTCTATCGGACGGGGTGCAGGCCGTGCGATTACTCTCAATCAGAGACGAGATCCCACGAGCGAGACGGCAAGACGCGAGTCTTCCTAGGGACGCGACACGACAGCAGCTAAACGCTGTTTAGAACCGGCTAGAAGAGAAGTACGGCCAAAGGTAAGCCCTACTAGTCCTCACTAACGAGGAGTAGGCCGCAGTCAAGGACTGCGCGAGCGGATCGAAGGACGATTGGAAGTCCTGCACACCGGCAGGCAAAGACAAGAGACGTCTAAAGACGAATTAGACAATGGAGGCCAACGCTCCTAACTTGAACGTTGAAGAACTAGCGGCTTACGCCACCACTAAGAGCCAGGCAGGAGTCCCGGACGAAGAGATCCTGCGTGAGATCACGCAGATGCTGAGAGAGGACGGATGGAAGGAAGCAGCGATTGGGCCAACGATCGAAGCAGTCGTTAAGCGATCATCAGTCGTAGGGGGGAAGGGCTCACCAAGGCAGGAGGGCTCACCGAAAGCTAATCAGAACGCCGTGGCCCAAGTAATGGAGCAGATGATGCAGCTGCTCAGCCCAATGGCTAGTCGCCTAGAGGCACTTGAGAGGAACCAAGCCGAAGGACGTTCGGAGTCATCCCCAAGAGTCGACACTCCTCCACCACCGCTAACAACAGTCGCCGAGCCAGCAGCCTGCAAGAATAAGTTTCCCGACCTAGAGCGTTT